AACTGTCTAACAAGAAAAATGCCTGTGGGTGAAAATAGAATGTAATCTAGATCCAGCTGATAGATTGGTTACACTGAGGGTATCACAGCTGATCTTCAAACACAGTACAAGACTGATAAAAGTGCACTGATTAGGTGAACTAGGAAGGTGAATGAAATGGTAACAGAGGAGATCAGAGGTTGTGAAGCCTTGACTAATTCTTGTCTACAGCTATATATGTTTCTCCTTCCCCATCTTGTTAGATATGTGTGAATTTGTGTCTTTTTGACAGATTGGCTAGAAACACAAAACCTACAGGGAGATCTGACTTACCAAGCAGAGCTGTCAACTTTGCGTGTGATTCGTGTGTGACTGGAGATTCCCAGAGATCCACATAGTTCATTCCCTTCACCTCAGAAGTGAGAATGAGTCTCCCAGGGCAGTTCTCACATTCTGTAGTATTTATGATATCAATCCATTCTTGTGCAGTCAAGGTCATCACTGCTTTTTGAAGTTGTTTGTGCCTGGCAGATTCTTTGATATCACATATGAAAAGGGTACTCCATATGTTCTGAAAAAGTCTGCAGGAGCTGACAAAGCTTCCTTGGTACTACTAAATTGAGTAAGAAGACTTAACAGTAGTAAGCAGTTAGTTTACCCACAGAGAGCCCTGTGTGTTCCCAGGGCTCTACTCCACAAGCTTATCCATCTACATCAGCCCTCAGTCCCCTGTCCACGCTGTGCCCTGACTTGCTGCTGACAGGCCACAGCAAACACTGAATTCCCTACTTTCCTTCTCAATCTCATCATATCCTTCTCTTTACCACATCCTTCCCCTCCTCCTGGCTTCCAGCCCTGTTTGTAACAGCATCAAAGACTGCAAAGTCTCAAAAATGAAAAGACGGGGCAATCACAGCCTGAGGGGGCAAAGTCACAGGCAGTTGAGGGCTGAAGGAAAGGTTAGGGCTTGTCATGAGTGTGCGAAGATGCTCTCTGCATGGCACTGCAGAGATTGGAGCACCATGGAGGCTTGCAGTGCTCATGTTATTCTTGCCCAGGGCACTGCAGAAATTAGTGTCAGTCTCAAAGGAAATGTGCAGCCCTTAAAGATGCAGAACTAAATTTTTTGCAAGAACAGTCTATATTTACTATGAATGAGCAATTTAGAAGTGGACATCACATCACTGATTTAAAGCAGATGTTAAAGAAGTGAGTTTTAGAAGGTAATTCTGATCTTGCATTGTATCGCTGGGAACAGCAAAACAATGTTGAATTTCCTAATTAAAGCTGAACGAAGTTTTTCCATTTGTAGAAAGATCTACCAGGATTATGCTGATACCCAGCATTCCATTCAGGGCGTGGAGCATGCTGGGTTTATCATAATGTCTGGTACTTCCAAGGCACCCTCGTCTCAAGTCCTTCTTCTGCTATGAGCAAAGCAGCATCAGGATGTTCCATAATGTCATGGTTTTATGTTTTTTGTTTCTTCGGGTTTCAGTACTCCACATCAAAACATCATGTAGTGTATGGGGCATAAAACCATGACACATCTACATTGCCAGGATCTGTATCAAAATGGAAATTACACTCAAAGACTATCTGGAGATGAAAATGTCAGTCTTGACATTTTGTGATCCATACGAAAAAAAAAGGATTAAGTATAGTGCTTCTGTTGCTTTCTGTCTACTGAAGATGAAAGTAGTCTTGCCATTTTTGAGATTTCTGCAAGGTTTGTTTATATCTAGGTGGAAAAAAGACAAAAAACAAGCAACCCTTGTATGACTTGTCTGGTCTAAGCTGACAAGCATACTGCACAGATGATTTATATTTAGAGCAGAGCCCAGAGGTGTCTAAAACAATCTACTTTTAGAAGCTGTCATATTCTAAATCTGCTCTTAAAGAAAGCTGGACCTCAGTGCTACTCTGTCATTAAAATACATAACAGTTAGAAGAGAGGGCAATGCGTGAGAACAAGCACATAATGTCCAGGTTAGTGAGGCACCTGTTTTCACTGCTTTATGCCTGTAGATTAATGACTAACAGTTTTGTTCTAAGTATTCAGCTGTACAAATGGTATTTCTGCAACTGATAGACATTCTTACAAAAATTACTTCATTACTGTAGATAGCTGGATTTTTGCAAATTATCTCTGTCTCCTTGTGCTCCTCTGTCTCCTATGTGCTGCTCCTGCAGAGGTGCTGCACTGGGTGCTGTTTTGTAAGCTGATGTCTTCCTCACAGCTGCTGGATCTGCTCTATGTCCCCTGGGCAAGCTTTCTGCCCAGGCTGCTCTACCAACTCTTTATTACTTTGCTCCCCCTGTCATTTCAAAGAGTTCACATCACAGTGCTCGGGGAAGATGGGAAATGAAAAGGCCTCCTTGTGGGAGACTCAATTGCTTGAGGTGAAGGTTTTTATCTTTCTCAAGCAAATGTTTCTTCTCAACTGGAAGTGTGTTCACAGATGACCATGCTTCGTGACTGAGATATTCTGTTGATCTGCCAGTTATCTTTTCGTGTAGATTTTTGAGGATTTTTCTCCACAGTAGCAAAGAAAATGTTCAAATTTTATGAGGATAGGTCAAAATAAGTGAAGTTTATTTGTCTCTCCACACTACTTTGTGTAGCAAACTTGTAAGCATTTACAGCTGTCTCTATAAAAGACATGAAGCAGTCAGGTGCCATATCTTTTTCCCCCCAAGGTTTACTCAACACATACCAACACCATGACAGCCACTGTGAAAGGTCTTCTTGTCAAACAGGTTTCTCTTCACTGCTTTGAGCTCCCTAGCAGTGTGCATTTGGGATCTATTATGATCAGCTACTGCCCTTACAGCACACTTGATGCTATGATATATGAATATTTGCTCAGAATATGTCTTCTCAAGAAGTCGGTATTTTTTTTATCATTTCTCATTTAAAAATAAATACATACACATATGAACAAATGATTTTCATCTGCACATACTTCTTTGCACTCCAACTTTCAGCTTGAAAAGAGAAAGCTCTTCTGAAATGAATGCCATGAGAAAACATCAGAGAATAGAGCAAAATATTTTGTGTTCTTCCAGGATTTGGGAAAAGCTGGGGAGAAGCGTGGACTTCCCACTCTAAGTCTTGGAAACAGTAACTAGGATTTCGGATAGAAGCCAAAAGAGGAAAATGATATATGTAGAAAAGAAAGAAAATGATATATGTAGAAAAGAAAAATAAATCAGCTGTCCTTGGAAGAATTGTGCTCTATACTTATTCAGCTCCTGTGTTTCTGGCCCTTTAGTTTGCTTCCTGTGGTTCTGGCGTTTTGCTAATAGAGATTTTTATTTCAGGAAGAAAAAAAAGAGAGAGAGAGTAGCACAAATTTATACTGAATTGCTTCACTAAAATGCCTGAGAGGAGCATTTGCTATGAAAAACAATTGTTTTAACTGTGTTTTTGGCAACACATACTGTCTTTCTGTTATGTTCCGTGGCACTTTTCCATTTACTGAAGATGTCTTAGACCTGTGCTGTAACCTCCCATCACACATGCTCTGTGTTACCTCTGAGAAACAGACCATTTAGCACATATCCCTGAAGCTGCATTTCAGCAACAGTCACCAGCCTGGCATGCCATTAGGACTCCCTGAAGAAGAAGATACACATTTCTTTTCAGTACATGCGACATCTTTTGTCTGCTTGGATGAATCTTTATGCATCTGGTAGTTAAGGAATTCATTCTTTCGATCATGCCATTTTGAGGTGCCATTACATTCACAAGCTCTGAATTTTTGTCAACATACCATGGAGCACTTCCTGCTATACAGGTAATCTCACAGTGACGCCTTTCTGAGCAACCACAAAAACCTGGCTGCCAGGGTGCTGCTGATTTTATAATCCTCCATGACAACAAAAGGCATAGCAGTGGGAGATGAGGACCGAAGCATATAGCATGAGCTTGCCCCTGCAATTGATGAGTGGATAAGGTTTTGGGGTATGGAGAGAACCTAGAAATTAACGGAAGATAGGATAAAATAAAATATGGATTGAATAAAATTTGACAAAAATGAGCTTTCAAGAAGTAAACTTACTAGCAATTTTGTTTTTCTTTTCTTCTTTAATATACCTGTCAGGGTCCCACATCTCTCACCCAGATGCTGCCACTAGCAAGGTGCCCATTCCTTGAGGTTTCCTTGTTTTGCAGCTGCTTTCATGAGGTAAAGACCTCAGGCAAAAATTCTGCAGCTACAGGGGTAAGCCACAGCCCCCAGGGAAGAAACTGAGGAATGGTGAGCTATTTTCACTCTCACAAGTACCCTGAAACTTTCTTCAGCACACTTAAGCCCACTAGTCATGCCCAGACCTCCTCTCATGCCTCCAGCTCTCCTTTTTCCAGTGGATGCCCCACAGACAGGAGGACTCCAATCTTTACCCACCCTGACTCCTGGACAGGAGCAGCCCCATGGTGGCACAATATGGTGAGAGAGGGACCATGAGGACCCATAGACTCCTCATTAGCCAAAAGACAATGCTAAGAAAGCTAACAGACAATAAGAAGTTGTAAGCAAAAAGTTGGCTTAGGACATGACAGCCTAAGTGGAAACAGCACTGAGCAGACAGAAAAAGACAAAGGTCACACTACCATACCAGGAAGCTAATGCTAGAAAGTAAAAAATGATTATTGCTTTACAGTTTCGCCCTCTTTATGTTGCTTTCCGTAATCTCTTTTTATTTTGTCTGTATATTGACTTCCTCTCTCTGAGATATTTACTGCCTGTGTTTCTGTGTGTTTTCTGTTTACACAAATAGATCATTAGCCTTTACAAACTGAGCCTCAAATCTATTTGAAAATACTCATTCTGGTTCCAAACCCTGACAAAGGCTACACATTGCTTGACTGGAAAGACAGAATGTGATTGTGCTGCATGCAATGTTCCAAAAAGATTTTTTTAAAAAAACTTCCCCTCTGTTTTGTTACAGTAATAGTCTTTTATTTCTTTACTTCTTTAATTTCTGTTCTGTAACTCATCATATCTCTGGCCCAGTGAGTCCTGAATTCCTCTTTGCCGATGCAGAAGCTTGTAGCTTGTTGCACAACTTCAGAAGCTGAAGGACAGAGCGGCACTGACCTTTCCCAAATTAGTTCTTTTGCCATTAGCCTACTGTACAGAAGGGGAGTCTGTGATGACAGCAATATTTTCACTGAAAGAATATTCAGGTAGTACCTCTAGGAGACATTCCTGAGTTGACTATCTTTGTAGATTGGAGGGTGAAGTCTCAGGGCTACTCTAGATATCTGTGGCTCGCACCTGTTTGCTTTAACATCTCCTTACAGCATAGATTTCCAAGCACTGGAATGAGCACAGGCTGCTATTTTTCTGCCCCAATAACTGCCTTGTATGAGTTAGCCACTTTAGATGTACCCCCAAATGTTTAGCATTATCCATTTTTGTATGTAACTAAATCTCAGTTTATAAGGACTTACGTATAATTAGCAACTCCTACCTTTCTGCAAATTAAAAATAAGTTCAGAGCTAAGAAAATAATTTGTTCTCTAATTTAAAGCCTGAATCCTCATCACAGGTGGAACTATTTGTGAATGGTCCTTTTGAAGTCTCTGGGATTAATTTCATGAGTAAAGTAGCACACGTACAGAAGAGTTCCCTTGGGCCTCCTTCTTCTTTTTCTCTATTTGTAGAACATCTATGGGAATTCTCCTTTGTTTATTTTCCAAATTATAGAGTGCTTTTATATTGCAATTTTCTGAATTAATAGTGAACTGCTTGTGTATTAATGTGTGTATTTATTCATTTGGAAGGAGATTACAAATGATAATAGTGAGTTAAATCTTTCATTTGGTTCTCACATCACGTATTTGCCGTTTTACTTCCTTCCACCTTCACACCTGAATACATACACAGTCACCAAGTATTCACCCAGCAATCTAAGTGAGGGATCAGGTGGCTTAGGGTATTTTCAGACCAAAGGACCCGTAGTGAGGTACAGTGGAAATTATTAGGGAGTTCACTCTTAACTTCCCCCCCCCAGTGTAAATATATGCTTGCACATCCCTTAATGTTGCTCAAATATCACTGCAACCACGACCCCTTGAAATACTTCTCACATTTTTGAGATGTGATTCTCTGAGCAATTCTAAGGCTTGTTATGGAAGTATTGTAACTATAGTGCATCCTATCCTTAGGAAGCATGGGTAGAGCTTCTCTTACTACACACGTTCAACAGACATTGTCTGCCTTTCCCACAGTGAGTCAGTGTGGGGCTTGCACCCTGTGAAATGGGGAACAGAAGAACTCTTCACAGCTGTCTGATACCTTCAGCTCCCAGCTTGAGGAGAGCTCGGTTTAACTAAGTACATCAGGTCAGTTCTTTTCTTGTTGCCCTAACAAACCCTGATTATATTTTAATGAGAAAGTTCTTTCCCAGCATGTAGCCTTAAATTTGCTTTTCAGCAGGTGGCACATGGTTTAACTCAAAAATCACCACGTAAATCCTGACAGTAGATTATACTAGTTAATAATATGACACTCAGGCCCTGGGACATCAACTTAATGATTCATTTTCCTTTTAATATTAATATATTCTGCCCAGTGAAAGCCTAGGTGAGGAAAAGAATTTAGATATTTTTTTTCTTTCTTCTGATTCAGAGTTCATCTGGCCCATTATCTTTTAATTACATCTCATTTTTGTACTTTTGTGGAGTGGTGATTTAATGCTATTAATAAGCTTTGTTGCAACTGAGTGAGATATGTAATTTCTCAATTTCAGTGCACCCTATGAGATACTGGGCTCCCTGTCACCAGAGAGTTGAAATCTCTCAGAACCTGATGGAATGAAGTCTCAGTTTCAATAAAACACTGCTGTGGAGAGTAACTGGCTGCCATAAAGCCTTTAATGGTAAGTGTCTTACAGTTTTACATGTGGAATTGCATGAGCAAAGGTTACCAGAGTTTCAGCAGCCAGGACTAAGCCTGTGTGTGAACAGACACATTTGAAATGCCCACAATAAGCATGTGAAGGATTACACTGAGTTTCTGTATTGATCTTCAAGGTGGTTAGGAAAGGAAGCCAAATTCAGAGAATGAAATGGGGTTTAATAACCTTGTAGTTTCTCTCCCAAATAGTTTGGTAGAAATCCTAATGATCAACTGCGTAGTAATCTTGCAGTGACAGTTATTTTTATAAGATTTCTTCAGGAAAGACCAACACTTGAGCAAGAGCCAGCAGTTCTAAATGATATCTTTGCACTTCTCACGTCTTCCTTCTTTGCATAGCTGGGGGAATGGAGGAGCTTCACAGGTGGGGTGGAAGGGTCCACACAGGAAGAGCAGATGGCATGTATATTTCCTTCCTTTCTTGTTCCAAAGGTTTACTTTTTTTCTGGGTGCATACAGGAGTGTGTCAGTGACTAAAAAGAATCAGCCACCATTAGGCTTTTTCCTGAGATTGGTTTTGTATTAATGCCACTTCACTGACTCCACCAGGATTGCTTTGGCTGTACAAGAATGGAAAACGAGAACCTTTTCCTCCCATTATGTGTGCTGCGAGTTTACACAAAGGAATAACGTTCTAACGAATATTAATATTAAAAGAATCCAGAAAGGATATAGAAAATAAATAATATAGACACTTAGAAATCTTGGCATGGTCTGGGGAAAAGGGAAAACATTTTCCTTAATGTGTAATTTACCAGCAGTGAAATACAAATATATTGTGAGATAATTTCCTGCAAAGTAGCTGCATTAGCGTAAGAATAAAAAACTACTATATGCTTGCAGATCAGAGTATCTTCACTGACCAATAAAACACCATTTCTTGTTTTAGTGTAGCAGTAGATGTAGTGACTTACATGTTTGTCAACAGCAGAAAGAGCAAATCTCTGAGCACAGAATAAAGCTTAGCCATAACAGAACATACACTGAAATAAAGGCCAACACAAATCTGAACCCAGCAAAACGGTTTAGCTTCACATATACTCATGTCAATATGAATATGTACTAGCAGTGATTCTCTGCTTGACTTGTGGCAGTGATTCTCTGCACTCTTGCTCTGAATAACCATTTTTTTATTATTGAAATACAATTTCATTTTAAAGTTCCAGGTTGTGCTGGGATTTTTTTTCTGCAGAGGGAGGAGAGAGGGAGGAGTTGCAAGCCTTACTGGTGTACCATGCAGTGAAGAGCAAGTCTGAGTGCTAGCTGAGCCCCTACCTGTGTGCTTCCCATCTGTACTGTTTGCATTAGTAGATTGCAGTATTTTGGTTCTCAAGTGCCTATGCTGTGCTCAGCTTGACTTGCTGAAAGACCACATTGTTGTATATTCAGCCCTGCTCATGCCCAAATTATCCACAACACATTAACGAGACTCTGGTGCTGATTATGTTCAGGCCCTTCTGAGGCAACCACTCACTAGGCTTAAGGGTTTTCTTTCAAAATACAGATTACTGGCTGAGAGAACATGCTTGGACCTATCTTTAATTGATGGTGAGACATATCCTAAGTGCTTTAATATTTCAAGCTCAGAATGCAAGGCCTGCTTCACAAAAAAAAAAAAAAAAAAAGGAAAATAACATATATTACAATGGCTTGGATTCTCCAACATTTTAAAAGAAGCTGAGAATGTAGATTCTCCTTCTTATGCAAATTCTGCCTAGAATGAGAGGATGAGAGAAGTGGAAAAAAAAAAAAAAAAGAGGCAAGACTTTCTGTGTTGTACACCAGAACATTTTTTCCCCACTTCCTCCATGCCCATCATATTTTTGAGTAGCCTTGCATTTGCTCAGTCTGCTTGTCATTTATCTACAACCAAAATAGCTACCTGTGCCAGGTGAGAACACTCAGAGCATGCCAAGCTGCTGAGTACCTGCTGCATCCGTCACTGTGGGAGCCCCCAAAGTCATCATCTGAGCTTTGGATACGCATGGCTGCCAGGAATTCCCTGGTGGCTGACCACACAAGTATTTGCTAATACCACAGCAGTGAAGATGCCAGGTGACTGAGTGGCCAAATTCTCTTCCCTCACTGCATACCAAAGCTCCATATAATTAAACTCTAATCAGCATCACCTTAGAGAGGTAAAAAAATTGACATGGCTGGAGGGGGGTGGGGGAAATTCACTGTGATGCTTAGGAGGTTCAGGTTGGATATTAGGAAAAATTTGTTCTCAGAAAAAGTGGTAAGGCATTGGAACAGGCTGCCCAGAGAAGTGGTGGAGTCACTGTACCTGGAGGTAGATGTGGCACTGAAGGCCATGGTTTAGTGGGCATGGTGCTGATAGGCAGACAGCTGGACTAGATGCTCTCAGTGGTCTTTTCCAACCTTTATGATTCTATGATTCTGTGATGCAGCACACTAATAGGACAATTAGATATGAACTGTGTCCCAAGGCACTCTGGCAAAGCAGACCTTGCTGACCCTTCACAGTTTGCTTGGAATTAGTATATCTCGGTCACAAGGCAGAGCCTTAATCAAGGCAGAGCACATGAAACACAGCATGCTCTGTACTTCTCACTGTACTACTGTATTATCTTCAATAATGCATTTTAATGTACTATGTGGGCAGGAATACTGTTAGATAAAGCTTTACAGATATGATGTTTTGTTCTAGACTATTTTGGTTCTTTTCTTCTTCTTTTTTTTTTTTAATTGAATTTTAATTCTTACATTCAATGGCTGCGATTTAACCACTTTATTTTTACCGAGCGTTGCTAAGTTTTGTTCTAGAATGCTTTGTACAGTTTATCACCAGAAGGCAATACCCATAACAGCCCTCCTTAAGCCTCATCAGGACAGATGCTTTCTTGCTTTTCCCTTGCAGTGAGCAGCTTTGTGATCCCACCTGCAGCCCAGCTCCTTCCCCCTCTTCTTCAGGTGGCCACTGTGGTGAACAACCTGCGTCTGGCTGATGTAGCACCTTCCTCTCTGTGGGGCTGCTTAGGTGCCAGTCTGGAAAAAAACTATTTCAAAATTATTTCTCTTAAAAACAAGTGTGTTGACAACACGACTTTACAAGACACTTGCACACAGTCCAACACTCATCAATACTCAGTGCATTTATTTCCAAGAAAGGGAAGACTGATTTTCTGTCATTAGGTATCAGTTCACACTCCTGGGTGATAAAAGCTGAGGTGGCAGGAAAATGGATCAAGAAAACCCTCATTCACTTCGCCCTCCAACTTCTCAGCACTGTACGCTTTCTCCTGCCAGGTGTCTAATAAATGTTTCTGCCCTGGGAACTAACGTCTGTTGAACTCATCTACAAGTAGCAATGGTCTGGAAAGTGCTGATACGTTCAGTTGGCCAGCATCAAAAAGAAGAAAGTTTTGTGGCCACTCAGCGAGACATACTTCAGATTCCTGAGCATAACTTGGAATGAAAAAAATTAATCTTTGATTTATCTTTGAGTATGTAGGCTTTTTTTTTATTATTTTTTTCCCAGGTCTGTGTCTATGATTTTGCAGAAGGCTGTTAAAGACATTGGTATTTGCAGCCTAGGTATTTTAAAATTAAATTAGCATGTTCTTCCTCTTTGTAAACCTAAATCCTGCATGGAAGAGGCTTTTTAATTGAAGCTTCTTGTATTACATTTGGGGGAATCAAGAGGGCTTTGCCCTCCTTCTGAGTTTCCCTCCAGACTCTATCAGGTAGTACAATCCTTGATAGCATATGCCAGAATGGACTGCAGATGGGAAATGAGAAAAAAGAGGGAGGCAACTAGGCAGGCCAAAGGCTTAAAGACTTGATGCTGAAAGCTTACCATGCACACAGCTTTAGAAGGGAATAGCTGGACAGGTACCAATGCAATGTGTTCCCACTGACTTAATTAAGAAGTTGTTTATTACATGACAAACTCAGTTTTTCACATATTTTTCGTAGTAGCTGAAGGTTGCTCGAACAAATTGTGTAAAGCAAATTGTGAATGGTGTACCTGACTGGAAGAGGTTTGAAACAGGTTGCGGGCTTTCTCTTATCTTGTTTAGGTGTAACTAATCCCAGAATATGCATGAAGATGTCTGTGGTTTCACAGTCAGAGACACACATCCTTTAAGATGGTGTAGTAAGAAATCCTGCAAGCCCTCTGAAGAGATTAATTGACATCAACTTCAGTTTTTCTTATCTAGCTGGAATGTGACCAAGGCTGTTCACCTTCCTTTCCTCAGGATAGCCAGAAAAAGTACCTTTTCCTCCTCCAGTCCCTGAATGTTCCCAAGGAACACTGATGCTGCAAGTTATTTAGATACTTTTGATGCACACGTGCTGTTAGTGAAAAGAATGGGAAAATACCAAGAGATACCAGAAAACAGCACTTATAGCCCTGACAGTGAAGGGAAATTCGTGGTGCCTGGGTACATCTGGAGGTTATAGTGGGAAACAAAGCTTGTCTTCTGCTGCAGGGAAGGGAAAAGCTTGGGAGGGTGTGGGCGGGAAAAGGTAGGATTGTTTTCTCTCTGCGACAGGAGGGGCTGGGGAAAGTGTTTATTTCTTTGTACCAGCACAGGAAATGTCTTTGTTTACACATTTATCTGTGGTACTGGAAAAGGCAAAGTCTTCCTCTCTGGCTGCGGGGATGGAATTCTTTTCCTCAGGCATAGGGAAAAGGGAGATTTATTTTTCTGCCTTTCTTTGTGGCAGGGGATGAAGAGAGGTCTGCCTGCAGACCCACCGGCTGCTTCAGAAGTGAAAATATACGCGATCCGAACAGATTTCCAAAAGGGTTGAGCGTAGGCAGGAGAGTTCATTTCGACGCCGTCCCGGGCTGAGCAAATGTTCAGCTATCTATTTTTGGCTCTCGTGACGTTCAAGCTGACAAACCAGGAATTCAAAGCATTGTACTCCACGAGGCGCGCAGAGCAGGGGCCGTAACTGCCCCCACCGCGCTCCCTCCCTCCGGCTGGGGGCACGGGGCCGCTCCGGCCCGACGGCCGGCGCTCTCTCAAGGCATCGCCATGTTTAAGTTTCGATCCCCTCGCACCGACCCTCCCACCGCCCGCGGTGCCACCTTTGTCCTCCCGCAGTCGCGGTGACCCCAAGATGGCTGTGGCCCCGGGGGCGACCAACGGCTCGGCCCCCTTACCCCACCCCCAGCGGGCGGCCGTTGGGCGGTTGCCGGGCGGCGACGGCGGCGGAACCGGGCGCGTCGCCACCGGGCGCCCGCGCGGAGCGGGCCGAGGCGAAGTGCGGGCGGACGCGGAGAGCGCACGGGGACGCGGGGGGGCGGAGGGGGGGCGCGGCGGCGGGGAGGAGCGGAGCGAGGGAGGCGGCCGGCGGGGCGGGCGCTGCCCCTCCGTGCGCTGTTTGTTCTCGTTCCGCCGCCCGAGGAGGAGGGCCCTGTCCGGCCGCCTTCTGCCGCCCCCTCCTCCGCGCGAGGGGACCGGGGCGACCGGGGCGGGGGCGGGGGAGGTGATGAGCTTGGGCCGGGGGCTGCGGCGGCGGCGCGGCTGCTGCGGCTGCGGCTGCGGCGGGAGGAGACGGCGGGCCGAGGGAGGCTGTGTCCGGCCGGCCCGGGGCCGGGGGGATGCGGCGGAGGACGCGTCGGGCGCCGGGTGTAGCTGATCGGCGAGGAGAGGCAGCCGCCGCCCAGAGAGGCCGAGGAGAAGCGGAGGAGAGCCGCCCTGACATGCATTTTCCTCTCCCTCCTCTCCAGCGGCCATGTTAACCAAGAAGCCCTCAGCGAGCGCCGCCGCCGGCGCTGCCTACCCGGCCGGTAAGGAGCGGACCGGGCGCCGCGGGGCCGGAACAATGCTGCGGCCCGGGGCGGGGGGAGCGGCGGGGGGTTCCGGCGGTCGGTGCGAGTGCGGGGCCGCGGTGGCCATCGGCTTCCGATGGCTTCTGCCCGAAGCGGGACGGGGCGGCGAGGGACCGCCGCCGCCCTCCGAGCTCATCCCTCTGCTCTCCGCAGGCAGGGCAGGGGACGGCGGCCGTCCGCTGCAGTCTTCCCCGGGCGCCGGAGCCGGGGTATCCCGGGCAGGAGCTGGGACCGGCCCGCCTTCGCCGCTCGCATTGCCGCCGCTCAGGGCCAGCAACGCCTCCCACACGGTGAGCCCGGGCGCGGGGAAGGGGTCGGGGTGACGGTGTGGTGGTGGTGGTGGCAGTGGTTGAGGGGGATCCACGGGGCGCCGCCGCCTGCCCCGTCCCGCAGGTCGCTCGGGGTCGGTTCTGCAAACTCGGAGCGGAGGAGCGTGTGGTTTGCGGGGCTGTAACCTGTAAGCAGCCCGTAACCGCGCTGCGGAGCGGCTCCCCCTCCCTGCGGCCCCGCTTCGCTCAGCTTTACGTCTCGTTGTCGGTAACAAATCAGATCTTGTGCACAGGCACCGAGGAGCTGTTCTGGCAAATGCCTTTTTGGGGATGACATTATTTCGGCAATGAGGTTAGTCACTGTGATTAAAGGGTCGCGTGAGCCGTGGAGAGAGATGAAGGCTGCTCTCCCCTGATGTCTCTGATTAGCTCAGGCCGATAGCCGTCTTCCCTGGAAACAGCTGTCGTTGTACTCAGGGACGACGATTGGACGAATCTGACTTTATTGCTGCGGTAGTTTACCTAAAGAAATAAGCACCGATGCTATGTAAAGGATGTTATTTTCCGGTTCTGTGATATCTCACATTATCTCCCCCTCCCGGTTAATCTACTAGGAATGGAACTTCCCGAGTATGCCACTATATATGGATGAGAGAGAGTATCTCTGTCCTGAAGGCATGATGGGGTAGACAGAGGGGGCTGTGTGCTGTCGTGTTAATGCAAAATATCTGAAATTTTTATTGCATACATTTCCTTTTAAATGATGAAAAAATTCATAGTGACCCTGAAAAGCATTGATGGCATACTTGGCTTAGAATTAATGAGTTCTCCACGGATGCTCACGTACTATCTTTGTAAACATATGGCAGAGCTTTAAACGGTAATGTGATTATGGGCTAGTGGAAGGTGAAACTATGCATTTGGATATTAGTGTTTCAGTGACTTTCTATATAGCTTCAGGGGTAAAAGCATCTTATTCAAATCCAGTTACAGAAAGAATTGGCTTAAATTAGAAAAAAAATGCAAGTCTATGTAGGGTGTTTTCAAGAGGAATGATGAATATTCTGCAAATTTAAGGTGGAGCTGCATACTTGAGGTCAACATCACTGTGTTTTTATGTAGCTAGGATATATGTCTGAATTGTTTGTTACTGCGAAAGGTAGGTTTTTGCACATTTGCACTCCAGTTAAGTGCCGGTTGATTTGAGAGGTGAGAAAGTGGTCGACTTTTTCTTTTAAGCTAGAAAATTATCATAGTACCTAGGGCCTGGGTATGGATTGTGAAAATGCACATTCAGACGGGCCCCACTAATAGCAGGGGCTGATGTGTGACAAAGCCCAGACTTAATTTAGAATCTGTGAAAGCCCTGTGAAAGTCCAGTCGTCTATCTGGGACTGCTGACTAATTTTGGAAGCACAGAACCATGGTATTTTTATAGATACGTTTGTGTGTGTATTATATATCTATCTACATACACTGTATATATGTACGTGCATAAAGATGACGTCTTTACGAAAGCGTGCAGGGAATATTTGAGTATTGCATTTCTGTTTCCAGTATTTTTATAAATGTATCATCCTGTATGTATGCATATGTTGTATATAGCATATATGTGCCTGTGGATAGATGCAGACATATGGACAAAATAGTTACGGAAGCATAGAAAGATGAGCAAGCATTTTAGCACTGTGTTTCAATTATCATTTCATTATACGGCTGTGTTTTGGTCTAGTATTAAATGGGCAGCTTGGTGGCCCTGTGTGCGGCAGGGGGGTTGGAAATTCATGATCCTCGAGGTCCCTTCCAACCCTGGCCGTTCTGTGATTCTGTGATTCAAATCCCTATGGGTTCTGATTGCTGCAGACTCTGCTGTGCCTTTGTGACACAGATTCTACTCCTCAGTCTTTATTTTACCTTGAGTGCTATTACAGAAATACCTCCGACTGGCTCGCTGAATTTTGTAGGTTATTATTTTGTGGTTGCCTAACATAACTCTTTGTGGTAAGGATCAGATGTGACATCAGAATGCTGGATTTTAACCTAAAACAATGGTTATATATGGTGTGGGAGCTTTCTATAAACTTCAGGCCTGCTGACCTCAGCTGACACTGACTGAAACTGTTGGTTTTACCCACTACTTCCTCAAATGAAATGTATTTAAAAATAAACATTTCAGTTTTCTTAAACCATTTTCTTCCTCTGTATTCATTCACTTAACTTGTTTTCAACCCTGTTGTTTCTTTGCAACTTCTCCACTAGCTAAAATACAAAATGAATATTTCTCTTTGGTGTTGCAGACTTTCAGTAGGCATGGTTTACTTAGGTGGTTAAGTTTCCCATGGCTGCCCGCACACGTGTGCGTTGTGTGTACACTAATTGTGAAGGGACACTGTGGTGGAAGAGAAATTTTTGGCTAAGCCAAGAAGTTTTTTTTGTAGTT